CTGGGTTCAAAGCAGAAAGGCAGTACCAGAAACCTGCTCTGCCCAAACTGGCCATCAATTTAAAGCTCAAGAGCTGAGAGCAGTGCTAAGGAAGATTTAGAGCTCAATGAGCAACCACCTTGCTAGTGCAGTTATGCCAGGACCTAATGGAACATATTCTCTGGGTAAAACCCTTTAAATGGATCATCCTGTTCTGTTTTCCCCAGGAAAACAGAAAAGAGGCCCATGAGGTTTCCCATGCTTCCTAGTCCATCCAGGTTCTTCACACAGCTGCTCTGGAAAAGGGTACAGACATCTTCCCACTGCCACAGCTCCTGGCTGGAAGGGAAATGCTGTCACCAGTGTGTTACAGAAAGGGAAATGAGGCACAAAGCAATTTTAAATAACTCGCCCAAGGTCACAGGAAGCTTATAGCAAAGTCAGTAATTAAACTCAGGACCTGTGAGTCCCAAGTCTACTTATTTATCAGAATTCACCCTTTAATGGGTCACCTTTAGTCAGGCACCCTCCTATTTTGCACTGCCACTGAATTATACTGGCAGAGGGAATTATTACAAGTCTTCCTTATAGCCCAACATGCTTAAAGGGCTGTTTTGGAAATAAAAGAAAACTTGCAGCATGGAACAGGCAATTCCTCAGTGCTGCAGAGAGCTGAACCACCAAAGTGATTACAAGGCTCCAGATCAAGCTGGGAAATAAGAAGCTGTTTTTCCTCTGCAGTGAATCACTTTGTTTTGAAGGGTGGCCTCCAGTCCACAGTTTGCAGGGTGGTGAATAAGAACCACCATTTCACCTTGGGTTTGTGTCCTATTTCACAAATACCTCTGAGGACACAGAATATGGCAGCCTTAACTCTGAGCCAGACATCCCAAAGCCTCTTCCTGAACCTGACGTGCCACCGGTTTGTGTTGGTACAAAACAATAGAATGGACTTTATCCAGACTTCCACAGGCACAGTTCTTTCCCTTCCTAAAGAAAACCTGTCCAAGCACACCCCAGTCCCTTCAGAGAGACTGGACACAGCCTTGACTGGAGCCTTGCACAGCCTCAGGGCACCCTGGCACACAGGGCTGGCTGAAGGCATCTCTGGAGCATCCAACTGCAGCTCCTGGGGCTCTCCTGCTCCTGGAGCCCCCAGAGCCTTCCTGGGGCACTGCTCACCAACCAGAGAACAGCAGAGCCACTGCACATCCCAAACCCCAGCACAGGGGGAAGAACAGCAAAGCCAAACCCTCCTGATGCACAGATGTGGTTTGTAACAGCACACACCATCAAACCACATCTGTGCATATCTGCAGTGCTCAGATCCCTTTCAGCTGGTGACAAAGAGTGGGAGTGTTGGGCAATAGGTTTGGAAAGGGACATGCAGGATGGAATTTGCCTTTCACAAAATACAATGTGAGGGGCAGGAGTCAAAACTGTTAGTCAAAACTGTGGGGCTAGCCAAGAAGTTTATGCATCCAGTGGCCTCATCTTTCCGAGTGCCAGCAATTTAATTTGTCACACTGATATTTTATACATGTCCTGAGCGAACAGGACAGTAAGAAGTAAGAGTAGGAAGGGAGAGATGAGGGAAAAGGATGCAAAGGCATTTGGAAAACTCCATCTGATCTGCAAGTTGGGGAACTTTGCAGTTACACATACTGATTGGGGGGATAGGAAAAGAGGAGGTAAGAGAGGCTTCACAGCTCCATGCTCAGGGCTACAGCCCTGCCTGGGGACTGAGGGGCACTGGGAGTGCCAGCCCCCAGCCATCACCTTCCCAGGGAGCACCAACACTGCCAGCTTAACAGAGAGAAAAGGAGAAAAGAGAGAGAGCTTCACCTCTTCCAAGACTCTGTTACAGAAAGAAACCCCACATGCTACCAAATTACAAGGACAGAGGACAGTCCTGTTTTGCAAAGCCTTTGCGTGGGGAATTCTTTGCTTTGAGCTCTGCTGCAGATTTGCAGGTGAACAAACTCTTGTGGAAAATTTACCTCTCGGGGTGAGGAAATGAAATCTCTTTTCCCCATCTGTTCTTCACTGGCAGAGCACAGAGGCTCTGGGTGGAAGGGCAGCATGAGTGGGATAACCCTGCCCCAGCCCTTTAAGGCCACTCACCAGAGGTCCCTGCTGTCACTGCCCACCACAAACCCCAGTGAGGAGCACACCCAGGGCTGCAGCTTCACACAGGGTGCCAGTTCTCGGACAGCACCTCATGTTGTCCCACCATGGATCCTGTCTCCCCTGACTCCATCAGATCAGGGTGAGCCCCTCAGCCCTCTGCAAGAACCAGCTCAGCACAAACACCTCCCCAGGGTTATTAGCAACAAGACCAAACTAGCAGCTGTGGGCCTGCAGATCCTTGGGCCCTGAACACGGGGCTGAAGAGGCGTGACATCAACTATGGCAAAAATTTGCTTGCTTTGAAATCCTACTCCTGCTTATTTATGTTACAGGAGTACCCAGAGGCCTCAGCCAAGCCCTACAGAGCTGGGGCTGCAGAAGTGCATTTGCACATGTCATGGCCATAGAATCACAGAATGGTTTGCATTGGAAGGGACCTTAAAGATCATCTCAGTCCAGCCCTGCTGTTATGGGCAGGAACACCAACCCTACACCAGGCTGCACAAAGCCCCACAGAGAGCTCCTGCCCCATGGCCAGCCACAAGCAGCTCAGTTTTCGCTAGAAATAACTCACAGCCAGGCTGGAGGTGAACAGGCCAGGCTACAGGAAAGAGGCAGGAAAGGGTTAGGAAGGAAGGCAGCAGCCAGGCACCATGGCCAGGGGTGTCCCTGGGGCTCCCCCAGTGCCCCCACAGCAGAGCTGAGCTCTGCCTCCAGCAGCCAGCACACCCTGGTGAAAATGCTGCACTCAGAGCTCTGCAACCCCCACAGGGATGCAGAGATGGCTGTTAACCTAAACAGACAGGTCTGAGATTGATTTGCAGGAAGGATGAAATCAAGAGGCAAAAATAACATTTCCAACACACCAGTGACATACCAAGCCCTTAATCTAAGGCACTATTTACAGGCCAAGAGCATTCCTTGCTGCTCTTACCTTCAGCTGCAGGGTCTGGGTCAGCAGCTGCCTTGGAGGAGCCTGTTTGAAGGTAACAGACAGCCCAGGCAACAGCCCAGCCCAGAAACTGGGATTTGCAGGCAAAGATAAATAGGGACCACTGAGCACAGCTCACCAGACTTTGCTTCACAATGCAAGCGCTGAACGTGGAAACCTCAAAACATTTCCTCCCCAAATGCATTAAATGCCCATTTTGCTATTTCAAAGCCTTCTACTTTCTCCAGCATCCAGATATTCACTTCCCAGATGCACTGCCAGGAATAGGGTCTTGTAAATAAAGTTTTACAAAAAAGGAAGGTTAACACACAACATATTTTTCCCATTACTTCAATACATCCTGCAAGCTCTGCAAGCTTGGTAAAGAAAGAGTTTATTTAAAAATCTAGGGTGGGGAAGAATTAGCTCACCAAAACCATAAACAGATTTGCTTTGCACTTTCAGGCCAAGAGAAAAACAAGACAGGCCATGCACGTATTGATGCACACAATGGCACAATCGTTTTAAAAACAAATGAATTTTGGGAGGGAGAGGACACCACAGGAGGGTGGGGGGAAAGGAGGAGCAGAGAGAAAGGAGCCAACTTCTGCAGCAAAGATCCTCAGCTTGGTTCTTAAAGCTCCCTGAGAAGATACTGAAAATCCTTTGTGAGCCAGCACAGGAGCATGAGCCTGCAGGGAGGATGGCACAGAGCTACAAGGCCACAAGCCATCTCTAGGTGCTGCCCTTCAGTAATGAACAATGTTTTTTCCTACAGATGGAACACAAAGGAATCCTTATTTACCCAGACACCTTCCACATGAACCCTCCACATCCATTATTGCTGTATTTCCATGGCAAATATAAAATGTAATGTTCCTTCTCCCTACTTTTCCTCCTTAGAGACCAACTCTGCTTACAAAGCTACCAAAGCTTCATCCTCTTCCTCCTGCAAAATTCTCTGTTTATAACAGCCAGACCACCAGAGAGCCACAATGTTCACTGCATTTGCACAATTACTGCCATAAGGTTTTGAGGACCCACCTAGATGCAATTAGTGGAGGGAACTTCAAGGAGGACAGCTCTCAGGGGGCTGAGGGTGCACGTGGATCCCAGCACATCTCATGCTCCAGCAGGGTGCTTTAGTTTATTCCTACCAGTTTAACAGGCTGCAGAACTGGAAGTGTGTCAGGAAAGCTGCAGCAAACAGCATCAGTCCAGTTCCTGTACTCCCAATGCTGATTATTTAATAAAGTCTAGAAACAAAAAGTCTCCAGATGTGGCACAAGCTGGGTAGAAACCACTGCGGGGTTTGAAAATCCCCATTTCCACAGGGACACTGCCATTTATCACACAGCCATGAACTGGGTGAACAAATTCCCTGCCAGTCTGCTCACTGATGTTCAAGCATGGAGCTTACTTTTTGTACAAATAAAATGGCTTGGCTCTGCTGTGAGACCCAATTTCTTCTTCAAAAGCCTGGAACGGTGTGATGGAAAACTGGAGTGTTATTTCCAAGCACACTTCTTCCATCCACAGAAGCCAAAGAGAAAGCATTGCTCTCCTGACCCTTCATCCGCACCATGGGACAGATGGATATTTATTAAGTGATATGGAAATAAAGTAAATCAGCAACTAGCACACAGATGGAGGGGCCAGCCAGGAGAAAAGTACAAACACACAGGCTATGTGAACTCTGCTTTGTTCACAGAGTGATATCCAAAAGAAAAGAAAATAAAAATTTCCCCTTTCTCAGGGACACCTGGAAGCATAAGCCAAGCTTGATCTGACCACAGAGCAGCCCCTGCTCTCAAGGCAGTGAGCCAACCACTGCAGGATCATTCCTTCAGCCATCAGGGATCTCTGTGACACACTGCAAACACCACATTTCCCTGCCCAGGCTGCACAGCACAGAAGGTTTCACATCCCACACAGCACTGAGGTGACAGCAGTGTCCTACCTGCTCGAGGGAGCACGTCCTGAGCCTGTCGTTCTCCTGCCCCTCCTCTGTGCTCACCCACATCTTTAAAGTGCCTGCAGTTGCCTCAGTAGCACCAGGATTCAGGGCTGGAAGAGAAGACATGACACCAAAAATTACTGCTGCACCCCTAAAGGAGAAGGCAGCCCTTGGTTAGCAAAGGCTAAAAGCAAAAAAAAAAAAACACTGATCAATTTGAGGTGCCACCCTGCTATGCCCCCACAGTACATCCCCCTGAAGCACCCCAAACACCCATATTTGGGGTTTTTTCCCCCTCTCAGTTAGTAAAGACATTATTTATGAGAAGATAATCAAGACTGTTGAATTAATCACCAAGCCCTGAACCCAGTGAAAGCAATCCCCCAGCTGCAGTGTGCTGGAAACCAGTGGCTGTGCTGGAAACCAGTGGCTGTGCTGGAAACCAGTGACACTGCTGCCCAGCTCCCTGTGGGCTTGGTCCATTCCAGGGCTGGAAACCTCAACTGGCCAGAACATATTTAGAGCAGCAACCACAGCACCCTGACTGCCACAGCCACAGCAGCAGCTAAATATAACATACAGCTCTGCTCATAGCTGTGGCCTTCTTCTCTCCCCTCATTTCCCCCCACTGCCATCCAATCCCTGTTCCCTCACCACTGGAGAAGCAGCAAAGCCAGCTCCATGTATTTCCTAATTTCTAAACTTTACTGTCTAAAGAGATAAGCAGCCAAGTGGATTTCTGGGATTAAGTTCAGAGCAGGGGAGAAAACAGCATATTGAAAAACAGAGAGTCACCCTGGGAAAAGGTGAGCCAGAGCTTGGAACAAAGATGAAAACCAGGAAAATTAGGTTGTGATTGCACAAGTAAAGGAAAATTTAAAGTTGTTTGTTGCTCCTGCCTGAGCAGTGACAGGTCCTCCTCTCCCAGCAGCATGTCCCAAGCGTCCCATGCCCAAGGGCAGGAGGGCTGGAACTATGTGATCTTTAAGGTCCCTCCCAACCCAAACCATCCTGTGATTCTATGATTCTGTGCAGTGTCCCTGTGCTTCAGCCAGCCCCAGTCCCTAAAGTTCCCTGCCAGGGTCCCACTGATCTGCTGCTCAGGTTGGATCCTGCTGACCACATGCTTTGCACACAACTGTGGCATTTCTTGGATTAAACAAGTACGTGGCACAGAGAGATTTCACCAAATAACAGGCACAGATGTCAGGAAAGGGCTCCTCAAACCCAACCAACATCCTGCATACAAGAAATTTCTTCTCTGGGCTGCAGTTTTACAGACCAAACTCAGCAGGATTAAAGAAAAAACAAAACAAAAACAAAGCAACTGGACAGGGGTGGAAGGACACAAAGGTTTTCCCTCACTAAGCATTCAGGTGTCCCAATGTTCCCTGCTGCAGAGCCATGCTTGGAGAAAGCTTTCCCCAGACCTGCAGTGCTGGCTTCTCAATGTTATTTGTTATAAATTATTTGCTGTACATTATTCTCCCTATTTAATTCACAAGAAAAGCAAAGCAAGCCCAGAACCAGAGGGGAGAAAAATCAGGAGGCCTAAGTCTGGCAAATCACAAGACTTGAGAGAACAAGAAAAAATGCTTTAGATGCCACAGTTTTTTCTTTTTTCCTCGTTTTTCTTTTTTTTCCTCCCCTAAAATGAAGGGAAGGCTCACCCCTAACCAATTAGGTTTCAGCACACTTGGAAAGATCCCAGCGTTGAATGCCGAGACCTTGACATAACAGGTGACAAACTTTGCTGTGCCAGAAAAAATCTAACATATAATAAGAAACAAATACTAGACTGCTGATGGAGTGGGTTTTTATTCCAGAAATTTGTGTAAATGTCCTATATTGACTTGCACAACCCCAGCAACTCCCAAACTGAGCGATAACACTGCTTATCTGCCATTCCTCCTCCTGCAACAGTGCTTCTCCTCTCCCTGTGCCACGGTACATTTAATATCCTTCACACACTCCTTTAGGGATTCAGCATATGCCTAAGACTTCAGCAAACAAGATTTTGCATTCCTTGGAGTACCTAAATTAAAGAGTGACCTCGATCACAGCAGTCAGAGCGGCTTCGCGCTTCAAGAAATTAAAGGTGGCTTAAATAGAAACTTAAGCTGGAGGCAGAGATAAATCTGAGTCTTCCAAAACCTCGTTCTGAAATATGGAGTAAAGCCCCTGCAAATTTGGCACCATGAGCCATGATTACCCTGGCAGCTCCTCCTTGAATTCCCTGGAATTGCTGCTTTGAGAAGAATAACTCAGAGGGGGCTGGGGCGAGAGGGCAAGGACTGGGCTTTCCTCAGAGCAGAACATGCAAACAGCTCAGCTGCTTATCACTGAAACTGGAACAGCAACAAGGACAACCAAGGCATGCTTTTCTCCCTAACTTCTTTCAGATATTAAAATCCCAGTGTCCAACAGCCAAGATACACTGAGGTCCTTCTGTCTCAGTTATTTGCAGTGTCTGCCAGAACCACAGCCATCATTACCGACCCACTGCTGTCCCAAGGCTTCCCAAGGCTTGACTGAGCAGCTCAAACCCTGCACACAGCTCCAGAAGGGAGAGTATCTTCCCCAAATAGCAAATTCAACACACACAGTGAGCCATCTTACTGCACCTGGAGGTTTAGCACTGCAATGTCTGAACCAGCGGGCTCATGAAAGGGGAGAGAGAAACTCCAGCACCACTAAGTGACTGAACATTTCAAAATGAAATCCACTGCAAAGGCTCAAAAATAGAGATTATTCTGTTTTCCTTTTACCTGACAACCCCACCTCAGATTTATTTTTTTAACAGCTGCTAGCTCTCTTTTGGGATCTTAACAGATCGTCCTGCTCTCTTTTGGGATTTTTTTTTTTGACATGACTGAAAAGGGAACTAGGCTGTCCCAGAATAAAACCTCCTTGCAAAGCAAAGCCTGGTTCACCCTGAGACTCACACAAGCAGACACAGCAGCCCCAAGCCCACCTCTCTGTCCACACAGCGCTTGGGCTGAAGAAAAACAAAATTATACTGAAAAACACAAAAATAATCCCCCTGCCCACCAGTCTCCAAAGGGGATGCTTTGAGGGATGCCTCACCTTTTCTTGCAGTTCTTAGAACCAGGAAATAGCTGAGCTCTGAAGGCACTTTGCAAGATCCCAGCTTTGGCAGAGATGGGCACCTTCCTGAGGTGTCTATGTGGAACTGAAGGAAACTTCTCGTACATGTGAGAGCTCCTGACACTGCCCAGCAGAGACTGTCTGGCCCTGCAGCCTCTGCTGCTCGTGGAGCACTGATTTTAAAGAGTTACCATTCCCAAGGTACAATTAAAGGACTGACAAGTTACCATCCAGAATCTCTAGAGTGGCTGTTTCTATTTCTCCAGTATTTACAGAGCTGGGAACTCAACTTCATTGATATTTTTTCAAAGAAGAATAGTTGTACTAAAAGCAACATCATTCACTCCCCTCTGTCTATTCCAACTCAAGTGAACCAGCATCCTGGAAAAGCTTCACCACTGAGAGAGACAAGTTGTACAATTTAATGTCCAAAACATTCAATTTCAGAACCAAAGAGCATAAAATATTTCTAGGCAACATCTGCATTTGTAGGGAGGCATGCAGACTTACAGTATGTTTAGTCACTTCAATCTTTTTTAAGTGCCTGAAAATTTAAGCCACAGAACATTTCTCATCTTTTGCTTATTTTAGACGAGAAACAATCTTCTCCAGCCTCACCACTCCAGGCCAGGAGGGAAGGGAGCACAGGACAACTCCCACTGCAGGGGAATAAACTGCATCTGCCTCATGCATCAGTGACCATCAAGAAATATCAGAAAGATATTTCCAAGTTGTTTAAGCCTCTGAAAACTGATGCTCCACAAGCTCTTCAGACCATCAAATCCTGTTGTTACTTTCAAGCAAATTATTTTGGCCTTAATTTTGCCCATTATTTAATCTGAGCTTTTTTTCTCTACAATTTTAGGGCTTTGACCTCTTGCTCTTTCTGCTGTGTACACAGAGAGCAACCACCTCCCTCCCTTTCAGGCACCTGAAGATGCTTTTCCTGCCTTGCTCTTCTCCCATCTAGAGCCAAACAGCTCAGGTTTGTTCAGACCAAGGATTTCCAGAACTCCAGTCCTTCTCCTTGCAATGCTCTGCATCTCCTCCAGCCTGAACCAGACAAGGACACTTTCCCCCATCCTTCTGCACTACACTACTCCTGATGCTGATGTTTATTTTCAGCTGAGTTTTATGCCCAGCCCCCAAGAATTTACAAGCAGATCACGGTCCAGTCCATGTCTACTGGAATAATTTTTTCCATTGCAAAGAGAAGGAATTATGGAATATTCCCATGACGCTAAAAATTCCTATTGCAGAGTTTTAAAAATTTCAAATCCTGTTCAGGTTGGGTTTAAAAACAACCAAACAGGTGTATACAACATAGTGCATTAAAAGTCAGCAAATGGCAGTCAGCTTCTCATCCAAGAAAAGGAAACAACAGACTCCCACTCCTCTCATTTTCATCTCACTGCCCAAAGGATGCTCTCAGAACCACACAGAGAGATAAATTTAATTGTTATTAAATAAATTTAACTATTACTAACTATTTAACTATTATTAATAAATTTAACTATCATTAAACTTAACTATTAATAAATTTAACCATTATTAGATTAATTTATAATTTAATCTATTATTTGAGAGCAGTAATCATCACTTTGTTCCATGTTTTATTCAAGGCCTGATGGGGCTGTGATCATCTGTGTGATTTTCCAGTTGAGGAAACAGAAGAGCGCTGGTTTCCCTTTCATCCCAAACTCCCAGGCCTAGAGCAGGATGTGGGAAGCTGTGGCTCCATTCCTGCACTGCCTGGAGGTTTTGGCATTTTTAGTTCCAGCTCCTGCTGGGATATTCTGGGATGGGGAACTCTGTCAGTCCCCTGGGATCTGCTTCCCATGCTGAATAGCACATTTAAATTGTCAATACACTCAATAACATGGCTGAACATTTCCTCTGCCCTCATCTCAGCCCCTCCCAGCTGCAGTTACTGGTGCCATTCACAGTTTTGTGGGAGCAGAGAGACAACAAAAGCAAAAACAAGTTTTTTCCAAAAAAAAAATTCCCTTTGACAGG